ATCATGGACGGACAAAAGGAAACACTACTTTACACAGAGAGTGATTAAAAAGTGGGATTCTTAAAAAAAAAATTTTGGAGGGGGGAATGTGGGATTTGCTGCCGGAGGATGTCATGAGGGCCACAGGAATAAACAGCTTTAAAGGGGGATTAAATAGATTCATGGAGGATAAGTCTATCGATGGCTACTAGCCATGGGGACTGAGGGGAACCTCCACATTCAGAGGCACTAATCCTCTGAATCCCAAAGCCAGGAGGCAACATCAGGGGAAGGCCTTGGCCTCTATGCACTGTTGTTGGCCCTCCAGAGGAACTGCTTGGCCACCGTGTGAGATGGGATGCTGGACTAGATGGACCACTGGTCTGATCCAGCAGGGCTCTTCTTATGTTCTCAGGATGCTGGACTAGATGGACCACTGGTGTGATCCAGCAGGGCTCTTCTTATGTTCTCAGGATGCTCGACTAGATGGACCACTGGTGTGATCCAGCAGGGCTCTTCTTATGTTCTCAGGATGCTCGACTAGATGGACCACTGGTCTGATCCAACAGGGCTCTTCTTATGTTCTTATGTCAGCATGATACTGCATTATTCATCCCAAACTCTATGAGTTTGGGGAAAATCCTAGAACATCATGTTGATGCTCTAGGTTTTATACTGGAAGGGATGTCACACATTGGCCCGTTGCTGAATGCCTTCCTATTTCCCCACCATCACACTGTCCGGTGGCAGCAGTGGACTGAGGATCTGGGGTGGGAGCTCTCCTGATGTAGGAGGAGACTTGGAAGCCCTAGTTGATGTGAATGGGACTGCTACCACAGGAGGTGGTGGCAGCTACAAGCATGGATGGCTTAAAGAGGGAATTAGATAAGCATATGGAGCAGAGGTCCATCAGTGGCTATTAGCCACATGGTATAGATAGGAACTCTCAGTCTGGGGCAAGTGATGCTCTGTATTCTTGGTGCTGTGGGGGGGTGGGGGCAACAGTGGGAGGGCTTCTAGTGTCCTGGCCCCACTGCTGGACTGGCTCTTCACACCTGGTATTTCTGGCCACTGTGTGACACAGAGTGTTGGACTGGATGGGCCATTGGCCTGATCCAACATTGGTTTCTCTTATGTTCTTATGTTCTTAAAAGACCTATATGCTGTATTCAGCTAGAAATAGCGCTCATATGCCTGCAATGTGATCCTAGACATATTTATTTACAGATTTCCCATGTTCTATGGGCCTTGCTCTCAAGTCAATAGGCATAGGGTTGCAGCCTTAAATTGCAGACCCTTTCGTCAGGGAAAACCAGGAACTGTGGTTCTGCAAGAGTGGCTACTAGTTTCTAATAGAGGATTCTCAACAATCTCACCAAACTACAGTTCCCAGGATGGGAGGTCAGTGTGGTGTAGTGTCGAACTAGGACTGGAGAGACGTGGGTTCAAATGCCTACTAAGCTATGAATCTCACTGGGTCACTATGGAACAGTTTCTCAGCCTTATCTCCATCAAAGAGGGAAAGGCAGAGCTGTATATACCATACTGAGCTCCTTGGGAGAACTGCAGGACAAAAATGGATAGATCCTGAAAAGCAGAGGTCTTCCAGCTTTCCGGACCTGGAACCGTCCAGCATAGAACCCACTGAACAAGCAAACATGTTATAGGAAGTGACTTGTCATTAAAGCCATGTGACAGGAACAGAAAAGGGCAGAATTATGAGAGGGCCAGTGGCAAGACCAGTAGCATGAACAGCAAACTCAAGAGAGTTAGGGACAGAAAAACACACTCTGAGCTCCAAGAAGTTTACCTTAATGAGGAACAAGTCAAGGGACAAAGTCTTTCCCTTGCTGTCTTGCGGCTCCTCTCAGTGTGTCTGTGCAAAGAGAGGCAAGTAATGTGGTGTCTTTGAGGTCTATACACAGGAAGTGATGTCTTTACACAGGAAATGATGTGCCCTTGCCGGCCCTTACGAGGTCAGAAAGGCAAGGCATAAATTTTGTAAAATAAGTTAAATAAAAAATAATAAATACATAGGCACATAGCAGCAGGTTGTGCCAGAAAGGGTGAGGAGAGATGTGACTCCTTAGGATCTCGCAATCCAGCAGGCAGGGCTCTGCAACTCCCCAAAGGTACCAACCCATGAGTTAGTGATGTCATTGACCTGCTTCCATTAGGAGGACTCCCAATGATCCTTCATGGACCCCTATTAATCATTAAAAGAGCAGCAGGAGAAAATGAAGGGGGAAATCGTTATGTCATTTCCAGGCTAAAAACAGGAAATGATGTCACCGCATTGTGGTGATGTTCTAGTAACTGATCTCTACGGTAGGGATTATGAATGCCATTTCCACCTCCACACACCCCGCCCCAGAGCCCAGTAAATCTCCCACCAGTTGCCAGGTAAGGTCAGACAACCGTACCATGGGATATTTGCCACTACTTGAGGGGGAAGCCCTGCCTAATCAAATGAATAATAGCTGATACAAATTTGTAGTGTAGTAGACAAGCGGTATTTAGCACTAAAGCACAATCTCTCCTCTGTGGTTAGGATATCTTACATCCAAGCTGAGGTGTTTCTTCTTTCAACTTCCAGGGCTTGAGAGCGGCAGATAATGACCCGACGGCCCCGCCGTACGACTCCCTTCTTGTCTTCGACTATGAGGGCAGCGGTTCGACAGCGGGCTCCGTCAGCTCGCTTAACTCGTCCAGCTCTGGAGACCAAGATTATGACTACCTTAACGACTGGGGGCCAAGATTCAAGAAACTGGCGGACATGTACGGGGGAGGCGAGGAAGACTAAAATGACCTCATTCTATTGTTTTAGTACAAAAAGAGAAAAAAAAGAGGAAAGCTCTAGAGTTAGAAGAAGAGGAGGAGGAAGGAAGGCAGGCAAAGAAACCCAACAATGAAGAAGAAAAAGGTGAAGAAGCAAGAACTGTACAGAAGTGGCAGCTTTTTTAATTACTATCCCCTGCTGACTGTATTCCTTTTAGTGGTGATTTAGGAACATTTCTTTTTCTGTTTTTTTCTTTATTTCTTTTTTTTTTTAAAGAACATCGAGCTGTCTAGCATGAACACTCGTCTCTGCTGCAATTGTGTTTTTTTAATTATTATTTTTTTTCTAATGTGTCAGCAGGGATATCGCTTGTTCTATCACTTTATGACTAAGGGGAGTGAAAGGCACTCTGTCTTAACTTGAATTTCTTAGAACAGAAGCACTGTTTTTAAAATATATATATAGATATATATATTTGAAAGTGCCTTTTGGTACATGTATCAGATTCCCTCTATCTCAGGAGTGTTCAGAAAAGAAACAAAAAAATTATGTTTCGACCGTCTTGGGCACCACACTCTATGACCCTAAGCCAGTTCTAGCTGGGAAGGAATTAACAAAACAAAAAAAATAATAAAAAAACAGGAATTGTGGGATGGTTTCTTTCAGGGGGTGGGGGTACTTTTTTCTGTAAAAAAAACCAACAAAAAAAGTGGGAAACTTGTTTGAGGGTGGAACAGGGGCAGGGGAAAACGAAGACGTTTTGACTAAAAACTCTAAACTGCTATCTTTTGGCCTAAGCAGATGGTGAACTGAGTAAACCTGTTGTATATATATACTTCATTATTTCTCCGATGCAAACTATCGACCTGGGTTTCCTCTCATGACCCGGTCGCATGTGATGTAGCTGCCTAGAGTTATAGCATTGAGCCTTTGGTGAGTACGACACAAAAGTCTTTGCATAAGCCCTACAGTAAATGATAAGCAGACCAAAGGCCGCTTGTGTGTGAGAGTTTGTGTTGTTGTCTTTTGGGGTTGGTCGAAGCTCCCACCACCTTCCAAGTCCCATCAACCCTGGTTAGGATGCACATTTCTCGCAGACCTTCATCGTAACAAATTGAATATGGAATTCTGATGGGATATGAGGGATACAAAGGTGGCAGGCGAATGAACACATGACTTCAGGAAAGGAGGGTATGCTCTTATCATTGGAGCTTCCAAGCAGTAGCAGAAGACTGCAGGTCACATGCACTGGCCAAACCCTACCAGGTGCACTTACCTTTAGTTTCATGGTCTTGAGTTGCCCTATGGACAGTCCACGGACGATGTAGTTTAATACATGTGTCGATGTGGGCAGATGCTCTGCCCCTTTTACCGTTCCTTCCTGTTATGATAGCATAGAAAGTAGGTGCGACTAAACCCAAGGGAAAAGGTGATGGGTGGACCTTCTGGTTTTCCCAAAAGAGGTTGAGAAATGGCTGCCCCAAGGAGAATTACGGAATCAGTATGGGGGCACCTGCTACAGATGGCTTCTAGTGCCATAGCAACAAGACCCTCTTTGGACCTTGGAAGGAGCTCTCACATTTGCATGCTATTTGACCACCTAACCAGATACCAATAAAATATATCACCTTACCGGAGTTGTATCCTTTATTCTCTAGAGTTTTTGTTCTTTTTTTAAGAGGAGACTAGTGAAGTCTGGAGTGGCTTAGGACAGCCAAAGCACTGGCTCCAGTGGTCTTTTCTATAATGCTGTGGTATCGGTAAGGAAAATAAATGCACTTAACTTTAAAAAGCACATGCAGATTGATACAGCATAACTTGTAAAAGCTGGAGACGAGTTGAGTTGCAGTGCCATCCTAATTGCAGTTAGACCCTTCTAAGTCTATGGAAGTCGGTGTGCTTTGAAGGGCGTAACTCTGGTTTGGATGGCACTATGTGTGTAGTTCACCAGGTACAATGAATGTGTTCCTTCATTGTCGAAAGATGGTGAAGGTCCACAAGTTGTGACTCCCAAAGTCAGGTGCGCTTCAAGGCTGCTCCCAGAAATTTTGGACCCACCTCAATTAGTGGTACTCGAGAAGTGCACCCCAAGATCGGTTGTGTCTTGAGACGTTCCTGCAGAGTGCAGGGGGTTGGACTAGATGACCTGCAAGGTCCCTACCAACTCTAACATTCTGTGATTCTATGTGCACCCCAGGATCTCTTGCAAGGAATTCTGCGGGCACCTCTTTCATTGAACTGTTCAGCTGGTGGCACTAAAAATCATAACATCCCATTCAGACGAGACCTGATTTTGATGCGTCAGAGACATTTCCCCATGTGGTTAGCATTTGTTGTGAATGCCGCTCACATGGTATATTGTAAGGGTTGCCAACCTCCAGGTGGTGGCTGGAGATCTCCTGGAATTACAACTCCAGATGACAGAGATGAGTTCATTTGGGGGAAATGGCCACTTCGGAAGGTGGTCTCTATGGCATTATACCCCACTGAAGTCCCTCCCCTCCCCAAACCCCGCCCTCTTCAGGCTCCACCCTCAAAATCTCCACGTATTTCCCAACCCAGAGCTGTCCGCCTTATATATCATCCTATTTACCATGTTGTTTTGAGGACCATGGCATTGGATACTGAAGTTCTCCAGCACACTGACAATATCAGATCTTGCCATGCGGGCAACACCTTTTCAGAAGATTGATCATGTTGAAAAAACCATCCCCTTTGTACAAAGGGCACCACATTAAAAACGAGCAGGGGGAAAAAAAGGTTTAAGATGAGATCAAGATAAATCTCTTGGCGACCATGTTTCTTGCCCTTAGCCAAGATAGAAGCTGGGGAAAGGAAGGAGTCAGAATAGCTGCTTCCATTAAGGAAAGTAAGGAACATCATTTCAGACAGAGAAATCTCTCTATTGGTCTCCATAACCGTCAATCAGATGAGAGAGATGAGGCCCACACAACCGAAATGTCCTGAAGTGATTTGACGGGAATGGCAATGAGTCAGTGCACTTGCTTTGGGCCTAATCCAGACCTGGAGGACCCACAGTTCAGTGGCGGTGCACACGCTCTGTGTGCGGAAGGACCCAAGGTTCAGTTCTTGGTATTGCCATTAAAAGAATGTCTACTAGCAGGGCTAGGAAGAACTGTCTAATAGCAGGGCTACCTGAACACACAGATTAGCCACAGCCAATCAGAGCAAACAATACTTTGTGCTCTGACTTACTGTAAGCCAATTTCGTAGGATATCCACTAGGTGCCATCAGAGAAGAGCCTGCTTTGCCTTACCCTTACCTATTTAGAAAGGCCCACCTTATTCTTTGAGAACTATTAGTGCTAGATAGCTCAGTAAAGACATCCCCTAAGAGGAGTCAAAGAGGTGCGTTTTTCCTCCGCAACGGTCCATGCGTCTCTAGGAAAGAACTACAACAAACTTGTTAGTTGTACCAAAGGTATGGGCTACTTTGGTACTCTTTAGTATTCTCCAGACAGTGATCTGGGAGCCAGAACAAGTGCATTTTGCCACAGAAACTAGACCTCTCGCATGTAGCCAAGCTCTATATAAATTTTGGGCCCAGGTAGAAGTAAGGGCTTTGCAGTTATAGCACACTGTCATTTGGCTGGCACTGGCTGAAATGTTATGTACAAAACTGGAAAAGAGAGATGAAATATTGAAAGGTGGCAGAGTTCCATCTCTTGAGAAAACAGTTTTTCTTCTGAATAAAACCATGGGCACCGTTCGCATCACATCTTTGAGTAAGATTTGTTAAGACCACCAAGGGCTAGAGGACAACTTGCTCCGGAGGCTCATGAGCAGTTAGCTATCCCTGACCTATAGTAACCCTGGATACATGGTACAGTGAACGTTCATACACCCTGTATGTATACGCATACATCTCCTCATAAGAAACAGCCGTGTATTTACTTTAAAACAGGCACCAGTACCTGATAAATGGGGGGAGGGGTTAAATTGTGCATTCAGTCAAACATTAGTTGAATGTAACATACAAATTACTCAACATGCGTGCAAACACCACGCGAGCATTGTATGTGTGTTCATTGTAATATGTATACTGGGCTATAGTTAGCCACTCTTGAATGTCAATAGCCAAACAACAACAAGTACAAATTAGCCAACCCATGTGCTTCCTGATTGGTTAGGCCATCCTTGTAACCAATGTCTAGTGGATACAGAAAGACAGCCAGGAGTATAAATGGGTACCTTGTGATTCATATGCTTAAATGTTGACAAGCCAGGGTTATTTGCTGCATTCCAATGGAACCTCACAATGATCAAGGGTAGCCTACTACCTAGTTCGTACGTAGGGTCATTCTGAAATGAAAAGTAACATCTAGATTCTGTATGTTTGTTTGTTTTTATTCTGGAACTTTTTTTTCCATTTAATGATTTGGACTAGTGAGGTCTATGTCTAATATTTGTACAATTCTTTAGATTGCATGGATGTGTAATGTAAAACCACATTTAATGGATTATGAGCCACTTAATTGTGCTATGAAATCTTGGATTATCTATGATTTTTTTAAAAAAAAAATCTGCAGCAGGTTTAAGAGGGGGGAAAGTAGGCGTGCTTAGATATTATTTCTTTTAAATCCAAGAATGTGCACAGATTTAGGGAAGTGATTATCCACAAGGGGAGGAGGGGTTGATTATGCTTTTACGTCTTTTTTCTCCAGTATACAAAATGATTCTCCTTTGGAAACTGAAAGGGGGTGGGGTGGGGAACTGAGCGTGAGAAATGTACAATGTTTAAAAAGACCATATCAGAATGCAAGCTCCTTTGTCTATAGACTTTGAAAATGCTCCTCGCGCATTTTATATTTCATTGTATCATATTTTCTATAAAATGCAATTTCTGTAAATTAACGATCATTTGAAATGTGTCGTGTCTGATAATGGAATGTGGTAAAAAAAAAAGTATTCTGGAGGGAACACTGCCTATTTGTTATGATTTTACTTACAGGGAGAGGTTTCAGTTTCAGTTTGGGCTGGCCACAATCCAGAGAGCAACATCG